AGGATCTTTGACGGCACGCAGCCGACGTTGACGCAAGTGCCGCCCAGCGTCCCGGCCTCGATCATCGTGACTCGCGCCCCTTCCTCGACCGCCCGAATCGCCGCGGCGAATGCGCCTGACCCGGAGCCGATCACCGCCACGTGAAGCCCCGAGCCATCTCCACCGGGCCGCACCGATTCCCGATCGTCGAGGAGAGTGGCCGAAAACCCGCTGGCTGCCACTGCCGCCAGCAGTTCCCCGGTCTCTGTCCGTCCGTCCGTCGCGACGTGGGCAAGCCCGTCGTCGTAAGAGGTCGTAGCGGTGACTCCTGGCAGGTGACCGAGGGCACGGCTCACCGTTTGGGCACAGTGATCGCAGGTCATCCCTTCGATGCGGAGCTTGACATCCATTCTTACTTTCTCCTTTACCTCAGTAGACGAAGACCATGTCGGCCTCGGCGATGAATTGGCCACCAGCGTTCTCGTTTAGGGCGCCTAGAATCTCAGATAGACGTCGGCCTGCTTCCGCTCCGCGAGGATCTCCCTCAGGGTCAGAGGCTCTGCGTAAGGCAGGATGTTCTCGCGTCCCTTGATCGTCTTTTCGACTTCGGTCAGAGCGTTCCAGAAACCGTTGACGACGACCCGCGCCCCCTGCTCGTGCAACATCGAGAGAAACACCTGGTAATTCGCCGGCAGAGAATCGCGCTCGACCCCGAAGCTCTCGGCGAGCAGCTCCTTGATTCGATCGGGTAGCGGATAGAGCCCCAGGTCGGTCTTGCCCGGTGCCCAGTACTTGATCCCATAGGCCGCGTCCTGATCGAAGAGGATCACAACCCTGTCGCCGTCTCGCAGAGCCTGCCAGGCAGCGTTGAAGGCGACGCAGACCGGCCCGTCGTTCTCCTTGAAGTTCGCGGTGAGGTGGATGAAGACGGTCTTGCCGGCGAAAGATTCCTCGCCCGATGGAGAATCTCCTCGCCCGGAGGCGGTGCCGGTGAGCAGCAGCAAGGTCAGTGCCAGGAACGCAACAAAAGGAAGTGCTCGCTTCATGGTCAGCTCCTTGTTGTACAAGCCTCAGCAACAAGAACCGGGTCCTGAGGCACTCGGCTGCGTCGCAGCTGTCTCCTCGGACTCTTCGAGCTTGGCCGTGTATCCGAGCTTCTCGATGGCTTCCACGATCTCCTCGGGGGTGACCTTGTCCGGATCGTAGGTGACCTCCGCCTGACCCTCCTCGTAGGAGGCTTCGACATCGGCGACCCCGTCTAGCTTCTTGACGTTCATGCGCACCCCGACCTCGCAGCCCCCGCAGGTCATCCCTTCGACCTTGAAGGTAGAGGTGACTTCGGCGGCCGGAGGATTGTCTCCGGCCAACAGAGAGGGGATGCCGAGAGCGAGGGTTCCGGCGGCAAATAACGCCACAACAAGAGCGATGTGAGGGTGTTTCTTCATGGCTCGGACTCCTTTGATTCATGGATTAAAACAGCAGCGAAATGTAGTACGGGAAGGCCATCAGCACGACCGCCAGCACCGCGACGATCCAAAGCACGATGCGATGGCGCCTGCGGTCCTCAGGTACCGCGCAAGCTTCACCCGGTTCGCACTTTCGCGGCTTGTAGGCCTGGTAGAAGGCGAATCCCAGGAAGGCGGCCGTCAGCAGCATGAAGTAGGGCCGGAAAGGCTCCAGCTCGGCGCCCAGAGCGGCAGAGCCGAACCCGAGGATCGCCACCGCTACCGGTAGGATGCAACAGAGAGACGCGCCGATAGCGGCGGCGACGGCTCCTGCGTTCAACCAAAGAGATTTGTTCGTTGTTTCCATCGTTTGGCTCCGTTGGGTCAGGCCGCGCCGGCTACAACAACGCGGTCGAGATCACCCTCGTCGCCGCTGAGGCGACCGAGAAAGGCGATGAAATCCGGGTCGCGGAGGGCGTAGAAGATCGTTTGCTTGACGCGAGCGGTCGAGACTAGATCCATGTCCTTGAGCTTCCGCAGGTGCTGGGAGACCGCCGAGCTGGTGATCCCCAAAACGTTCGCGAGATCGCAGACGCACAGGCGCTCGTGCCGACGCAGTAGGTGGACGATCTTGAATCGTGTTGGATCCTTGGCGGCCTCGAGCCACCGCAGCGTGGCGTGCAACTTGGGTGCCTCCTCCGCAAGCTCGGCGCGGATGGCCGCGATCTCCTCCTCGGTGCGGATTGAAGCCCGGCACAGGCCGTCGTCGTTGATCAGTTCTTGCTGCATGACGTCCTCCAGTATTTAAGCATACGCTTAAATACTGGAGGTGGTTCACATGGATGTCAAGAAGAACTTGGCGATAGGCCAAGCCGACCCCACCTTTCGGCGAGTCACGGGCAGCCACTACCGTATACAGTTACACGTTTCTGCTTTCTACCCCCAGCTCGACAAATTTCGAGAAGTGCGTGATGCGATTGAAGCGAAGGTAGAGGCGTTCGCCACAGGAGAACGGGATGCCGGCTAGCTCCGGGTTCCGTTCCCTTACCGCGGAAGCTCTAGGTACCTTTCTTCTGGTGCTCGGTGGGTGCGGGGCGATCGTTGTCGATCAAAGCACCGGCGTCTTAGGACATGTCGGGGTGGCGCTCAGTTTCGGACTGGTGGTCTTTGTAGCCGTCGCCGCAACCGGCCACGTTTCCGGAGCGCATCTCAATCCCGCCGTCACACTGGCCTTTGCCGCTCTCGGAAGGACGAGCGGTCTCCGACAAGTCGCTTCCTACATCTCGGCCCAGCTCTTCGGGGCCCTTG